TATTGAGTTGCCTGAATACTCTGCCTTAAATACAGAGACTTGAAGAAGAAGAGGGAGTGTGCTGGGGTGAAATATTGTGCTATTCCTCCTAGAACCATCTGCTTTTTCTTCTATTTATCAGTTCTTTAGCATTCAGCTGTTCTTTGTTCCAAAGGAATATAAGTTCAGTTTTGAAAATATGCAAGAACAAAGCTTTAGAAATTGCCTGGAATTTCCTCCATTTTCAACCATCTGGCTTTCATTGCTTAGCTTCTTTCTTCACTCCTCCATACATGTTTACTAAATCCTTTCAACATGCATTTACCAAGTTATTGAGCAGTTATAATTAATAACACAATTACAGCATTCTCATTCCCCCCTTTGGTAGGTCATTTGGCTCACTAAAAACTGCTCATATTGATGCTGTTATAAATAAGAGCAATTATATCTGATTAGATGATGACCACCTCTGAATTTTGGGTTGTGGATGCTGAAGAAAAGTCACTCTTTGGACTCGAGTCAATTTATTGTTGAAAACAGTAAAACTAACATTGCAACAGAGTTTTTCTGGTTCCTTTCAGAGTGATTTAGAATGCTAATATATCAATTAGCAAAACTGATGGACCTACCCTTTCATTTTAGAGCTGAAAGAAGAAACTTCTAGACCTTGAATATTTATTCTGCATTAAATCCTAGAAAGACTGTGCTCTGCCTAAGTATTACTATATAATTCTGAAAGTGGTATACCTTGAATGACACAAATTAAGTGACTCAGAGGGCACGGAGGAACTGTTTGTCCACAGAAGCTTTGGATGCCCCATCCCTGCAAGTGTTCAAGGCCAGGTTGGAGGGGGTCTTGGGCAGCCTGATGGTGTGAGGGGAAACCCTGCCCATGTAAATTGGGTTGGAATTAGATAATCTTTAAGGCCCCTTCTAACCTAAACCACTCTGTGATTCTTTGAATGACTGAATTAAAATGTCTTATTTCCTCTCCTTCTGGGAGAAATCACTCTGAATCTCCTAATACATTGAATCAGACTATGTATATATTTTCAGCAATATCAAACAAGCCTACACCAATTAATTAAGGTGGAATTTTTGTGCTTGTGTTCAGCTATTAACTTAGGAATCAGCTTCAAGGTGCTTCACTATTTTTCTGTTCAGTATGGAATGGGACATTCTGCTTCAGTGTTTTCCAGGAGAAAAGAGACCCATCGTTTTCTGCCATTGTTCATGAAGCAAAACACAAAAACCTCTCAGTAAAGTCTGAAACCACAGGAAGTTCAGCTACTTTCGGGTTTGTATATAAATGAAGTCTTCCAATTTTTGTATGAAACTCATCCCGGTTTAGGAAAACTTCTAAAAAAAATATAGGGCACGAGACTTTGCTGACTATATATAGCTGTAAATATCTGATCACAGACTTCTGCAGTTTAGTTTTTCTGTCTCTGTTCAGTCAGAACAGAAATGTGTTAAGATACTAAGCCAGAATTTCAATGGAAATTATAAAGTTATAATATCTCAGGTGCTAAACCTGCACTCATGTTTCAGTTTTTATAAATGCAAAATATTGTCAACATATTGTAGTTTTTTAGCATATTTTGTTCCAGGAGGGTCTAGAACAATTAGGAATTAAAGAAGACAAGGATACTACAGAATGTTATCAAAGTGAAACATTAAGTGAGTATTCAAGTCTTTTAGTCTACACACTTTTGTTCTCAGTGTGGAGCAAAAAGAACAGTAACAGTGAAGATCTGTTTAGCATAATTCATCCTAAGTGTCCAAAAAGAATGATAAAAACAATGAAAAAGAAATCATTACTCTTCACTGGTTACTCATATGTTATCTGTCTTGAGGTATGAACATTCTTATACTTAAGAAAGTGTGATTAGTTTCTGTTGTTCAATGCTTTTGCTTATGTACATTAAACTAACACAAGGAATTGTTGACCAGGAAAGGCTTACAGAGCTAAATCTTTGAGAGGATATGAAGAATACCCCATATAAGCAAAAGTATTTCCAACTGAAGCAATTTTAAGCTTGGGGGATCCAGTTTTTAATGTTCTCGCTTTTAAACTAAATGAAGTCTTGAATTGTATTAAATTCTAGCCACAGTATTTAATGTTCTGGTTCAGTACGTCCTGTTGTTCTGGTTCAGAAGTGCCACTTTCTCTAAATAAACTAGGAAGGAATTTTTGTTCCCTTGAGCAAGATTTCTGAGCTTTTTCTCATGGTATGGACAACTGTGCCTTGTCTTCTATGGCATTCTTCACCACAACAGCTGCCTTTTCAGCACACTGCCTCCCCTACATGCAACAACTGCATGCCCCAACAGTCACTTACATATCGCAGCCATTTTAGGAAAGTGTGTTTTTTTTTTTATATTTTTAGCTTATATTTTAGTTAATGTAGTTTAGCAGCTGGAAAACAGGGAAGAGCCAACACTCTGAGACCTGCCATCTCTTTCTATAAGCCATCAGCAAAAGCTCTGTGAAGTATCAGTGGTTCACAGATCACATTTTGGGAATTTCTGTGACAGGGATCTAAGCTACATCTCAAGATATGGACTTGTCAGTCAATAGCAGTATCTTCATCAACATTCGTAAGGACAGGATTTTAGCCTAAATTTGTGCCTGATTCCCAGGTCAGGATTTCCTGAATTAGAATCCTGAAGCACCTTCTTATGATTAAAACAAAGAGGAAAATCCTAAAATCCGTTTTCTTTTCACTTCGTCTCTTTAGAAACCCTAAGATTATTTTAATTAATAGCTATAAAGCAACAATTTTTATATACTAAATGCTATTGGCTTAATGAGGATTAATATGCAATTGCATTTAATGCAGTGCTATTAGTACATATAGAACTTCAGAAGGTTGCAGTCTTGCCAGGAGCTACATGGAAACACATCAACCTTTCTTCTTGCCTCCCTTTCTATTAGTCACACTGCCTGTGGTCTGCAATCTTAATTTTTAGGTCTTCTTGCTCTTACCAGAAGAACCATTTTGGAGATCACATGCTGATTTGCTGCCTGTGCTGCTTAAATCTCTGCAGATAGGCAATTTCTTTCAGACTTAGGGGTCTGCAGGACAGGATTTGCATATACTAGAAATGGAGCTTTTTCTCCTTTTCTCAGTTGCAACCCTAGGTGTAACTGAAAGCTTCTTAATCTATGCCCCCTTTATTCCTCATCCTGCTTTAGCTATTGCTCCATGTCATGATCCTCATCACAATCACCTTGTAGTTGGAGAGGTAAACCACATATCCAAGGCAGTTTTAAACTACCTCTATGCCAGTAGCATGATTATCACAATGGTATGGAGTAGCACTCGGAATAATTCAGCAAACACTCATCAAAATTCTCAAAAGACTTTTGTAACAGAAATCACCAAAGTACTAGCCTATGTCAATGTATCTTTTTTCTCTCCTTTTTTAAACAGTACATGTTTATTTTCCAAGCCAGAACAGACGGATGGTCAGTCTGTCACCATGCACTCTCATTCAATTGACATTGCTGCCTGTCAGTTACAGATTTACAACTACAAAGATACTTTTTGCTTATGTTTTAGCACCAGTAACACAGACAATTTAACCAACTCAGGGTTGCCGTATCCTGCTAAGTAACTTTTGTAATGGTTTTGTGAATTATATCAAAATATGTGTCTACGCTTGTACTGTATTCAAATACTTCCCACCCAATTAAACAATTATTTTTGTCTCTTATCATTCTTGGATGCTGGCCATATTTGATTCAGCAGTCTCTGTGTAGCAAAGTCTACTAGTCCACATAATGATACACTTTGAAATAACCTGTTTTCATAAGAAGAATACATACAGCCACCAACATGTAGTCTAAGAAAAAAATATCACCTGGACAACACTGACTGTTTTAAACAGTCCAAAGTTATAAATAAGTCTCTTTCAAATCTGTCACACTACCACGAGAGAGTAAATGCACCTGTGTGCAGCTGGGAATAAAGACAATATGTATGCAGTATATTTTCAAGATCTGACAGCCCTTGTTCTACTTAAATAAACCAGGGGAACCTCATGACAACTATTTTCTGTTGTAGAAGGTACAGATGTGGATCTTTGCAGACAAAGAATTGCTATTTTTAGGGTAAGGATTGTGGAAGCAATCTGAGATCTGGAAGGAACAGGTTGTGAAAGCTTTCTGTGAAAGTGGAAGTTGCAGAAATGTCCCTAAACTTTTTTTTTGACTCTGAGTAAAGTTAAGCTAATCCATAAAATATCTGGCAGCAGGACCTGAATATGCAAGCAGTCTGAAATTTGCCCTTTGTTTTCACCGCTGCTTTGCACTTCCCAGTTAATAATTCTAAGGCCTGAAGAGGCTGCAAGCCCCTGTAATCTGAGAAAGACCATGTGTGAGGCAGTCCATGCCTCCAGACTGAAAGGCCATTTGGTTTGGGGTCACAGCTTATTTAATTACTGGTTTTTTTTTTGTTTTTTTGTTTTTTTGTTTTTTTGTTTTTTTTTAAACAGCATGGTTTAAATGGTTCTGGACAACATACCAGACTACAGTTACCTCACACTTCGGTAATTTTTTTGCTATTTCCACGGAATTCTCAAAATCCACTATCCGAGGTCCAAGTAGAACTGAAGGCCTCCAGCCTGGATATCCTCACCTAGGCTAACAACGTTACACAGCCTTCATGGCTACAGGGGACTAAACTGCATTATTCAGTCTTTCTCACCTTTATTACCTTTTCTCACTTTATGCCCACCACAAAGAATCCTGAGGGAGTTAAACTGATCTGCTGAGCCCAGATATCCCAGTCTGCACTAAAACCTAGAGAGCATCTCAGGCTCTTATCTACACATTGTGCTTGCACGTTCCAGTTTTTCATTAATGACCAGAGCCAAGCATTCTAGTCAGATGGACCTTCTTGAGTGCTTTAGTTTCATGGAGACTTTGCAGATTAGTTTTCCAGCTCCACCAATAACCATACTTCTCCTACATTCCCCAAATGTACACACCTGGTGATAAGATACAGGAAGCATACCTTGGAGGGCAGGGGTCCAGACTACAGGCTTTCAGCAGCTGTGGAGGACGGCGGCTTATTACACACTGAGTCTCATCTGCAGTCTCCCTGGTTTGCTTGTTCAGGCAGGTCACCACAGCCTCCTGGACACCTGCACACAGTAATGCACAGTCACAGCCAGCTCCCAGCACAGAGAGGACATCCAAGGGAGAGTGCCCCACTGCTCATTTTTCCCTCTCTGTTGTTACTTTTGCAATTTTCCAGACACAGTCACATATTGCTTTCTTTTGTATTTTGTTTCCCAGTCTCTGTAGAGATGGCCTAATCAGAACTCCGCATGGGATGCTGAGCTTTTAGTTGCTTTTGCTCTCAGCTTCATTGGATGTCTTGACAGCAGTAAAAACTCCATAGGTTCATTCACCCTTTATGTTGCCTGGACAAAGAAACTACCAGTGCACTTCAGTGACTCCTCTGTTCATCGGGAGTGCAGCATGGTAGGCAAGGGTGTGAAGAAGGCCCTGACACTACCATGCTATGTTTAAAGTAACTGTAAGATTATTTCAATTGCAAATGTAAAACAAAGCAATTTCAGGTCTTGGCTGCTTTTCTGCCTCCACAGGCTAGCTACTACACTGGAGATGCAAAACTGCCAGGTATATCTGAGAGCTGGGATATGAGCTGTGGGGAATGAGAGAGAAGTTGGAAGATTTGGTGAATAGGCTATAACTCAGAAGACGTACGCTTGCACATACCAGGTACTCTATCTTATCGTTCCTGAGAGTAAGATAGGTATATTAAGATGCTTTGGATCACATGCAAGATAGAAATGTGCTCTTTACATTCACCCCAATTTCCTGATTTAGGAAAAGATCAGTTGAACTCATAAATGCACCATCTCTTTTAAAATCAACATTAAGTTTTTCAGAATATGTTAGAATCTTTTGAAGTCAAAATGGTGAAAAAAAAATAGGAAGAAAGTCCAAGAGCTCTGAGAATAATATAATAGAGCTGTCCACACCTTTTGCCATTTCTAATGCCAGAGCACATCATGCAAACAGTGATATCATATTACTCAACAGGACCAAAGTATTGCAGCTCAGTCAGATATGACACTGTTTTGAAGTCACTGCTTTCTGCTTTGCAGTGATCACCTGTGCAGCCTCACAGCAAGGTCAAATTGAAAAAGACAAAGGAAAAGAACAGCTTGTCCAGATACAGTGAAACCTTGGAAAGTACTTTTTTTACCTGTGTGGAAAGAAACCGTTGAGTCCTACACATACTGGTGACTTCATTGTGTCTGCTAGAGATAAGGCTAACTTACCACCTCTTATGTACAAGATTCTGTTTTTTCAGATCAGAATTTTTAAATTGTATTTCCACAGCTTCAATTTCTCGTCTCTGAAGTGTGTTACTAATGAGCTGCTGACCAATAATTATCAAATTATCTCAGCACATTTGCCTGTTTTAGAGCTGACTATTCCAAAGTGATGGTCTTGAATTCAGCTTTTCTTCCATTTCTCCATCCAAACCAGATGACTTTGCATTACCAAGCTCACATAGCCAAGCTCTGATAATACTGTTTTCAGCTTTTAGTATACAACTTGCCCAGAACTTATATTACCCATAGTTATTCCTGCCACATACATGACCTCTGACTGTATTTTCAACAGTTTTGGTCTTTTATACTGGCATTCTACTCTGCTAAATAGAATTATCTTTCAGAGATTCTTGTAACTTTTTACATTTTAAAGATTCCATTATAAACTATAATCTTGTCAGCCTTGGTATTGAAGAAAAAGGCTCCCCCTGAATTTAGATAATCTGTAGTGTCTAGATTGGGTATTGCCAGAGATTCCTGGCTTGAACAGTTCGGGCTAATGACTTAAATATATTCTAGCTTGCTCCAGCAGGAAAAAAACATGCTCCAAATAATTTTTACATCTGTCCCTCTGTTTTTGATTGGTCAATGCAGTGATTGGCTACAAGCTTTAAATCAACAAATGGATCACTGAATCTTTAAAGACCATATGGACTGTCTATTATCTGTCAGAACTTCTGTTATCTTTATTAAATAAGTGTGTGAACTTCATAAATTTTGCTTCTCATTCAAATAAATGAGTTCTAAGCACTATTTACTGCACAACATTATTAGAACAAGAGCTGTCCTCTTCAAAATTGCTTTCCTTGAAATAAGAAACCAGTTCTGAAAGGAAAATTGTAATACAAAAGGGTATAATGGTGGGACACGAATCTAAGCAGTTTAAGTTCACGCTCAAAATACCATCAACTGAGATTTTTCTGTGTTTATATCTACCAGAATAAAACAATTGTTACATAATATTTGATGACAGCCCTGGAATATGCAGCCACTAACAGCAGACTAAACGACTAATTCCTTCTGGTTGCTACCTCTACAAGGTGAAAGGTTACTTCTGCATCTATCCAATTTCTTCTCTTGAGACTCCCAAAACAACAAAATTAGTTTGACCTGTGTTGCACCTACACTACAGAAGTATCAGACTTAGCATCTGCTAATCTGGAAATTTTGGAGTTGACATCAGAAAAACAAAAGCTACCAATTTTTGCTGAGAATTGAAAGATTGAGTTTATAAAGAAAAATGTCTCTGTTAGTTCAGCCTATGTGAAACGTATTTTAAAAATATGCACATAATCACTGTGTTCAAATAAATGACTTAAATTCAAGAGAACTTCCTAGAAGTTATTCATGTTTCAGTACTCACAAGGCAAATGTGGCAAACATTAATGTCATTAGTATACTCATTTCATGACAAGTGCTACTGTATAGTGCTCATCACCACTTAGCAAAGATTAACATCTATTATTTTCTATGTAGGAATCAAAGCAATTGGGGTAATTGTATGACAACTCTTTGAGAACTGCTCTTAACGCTACCATCAGCAAGATAAAAGTAAGTTCAGAAATCCTTTGTATTATTTTCTATTCGTTTTGTTGTTGTTGTTGTTTTCTTTAAGTCTGTAAGTGATTACAGAGCTATCTGTTAAGCATTCATGAATCACTAAGTGGCTTCCAGTTTTATAATATGTATTCTGCATTTATCTACAGTAAACTTTTTTTTTTTAATAGCCAGAAACTTCTCATGTAAAAAGACAGCAGTTGTAGAAATCTAGGTTTAATTAAAAAAACAAAAAAAAACCAAAAAACCCAAAAAAACTGGACGAAGCATATTTTTCAGAACTAGCTAGAAAAAACAATTATTAAAAAAGAATATCAGGGAACTGTGTATTAGTATTTTATAATATGTAGAACCTGCAACCTTAATTAACTTTGAGATGCTCCAAGTGCCAAGCTGCTAGCTTCAGGCAATCACACCATTAGTATTTTTTACCATATGTTATCTTTAGCAGGAGGATCAGAGCTAGTGGCACTTAATGACAAGAGTTCAAGAATCAGCTGAGCCCTTAAAATATCAGTAACCAAATGCATCTGCTATGGTAGTACCATTTGTTTCCACATATTTATACTTGCAAAGCAGAAGCCAAGAAATAAAAACTAAAACTGACATTTGATTCCTGCCTGTATCATGAGACCACTGTAACATTCAGCTGTTTTTGTGTAAGTACATTCTGTGAGACCAGATGATACTGGAAAACAGAGATACGAGTACATCAATTGCTCTAAGTGTTGATCTGAAAGGGGAGCCTGAAAGTCCTGAGTAAAAAATATGTTGTGCAAAGAGAGTTTTACAGTTTTCAGACAAGCTTTCCACATAGATGTAGCAAAGCAGCAAGTCCATCAGTGTTCACAACAAAACACACGCTTGAAGAGGGAACGCACACGCATCACTAAAACATTGCACTTACCTCCTCCACAAGACTCTGAACACTCAGTGAAGCCCTCATATTCCCAGTCATAGAGCTCATCGAATTCCTGCAATCTACCATACAGCTGATCTGTTTCTTCAGGGGTATATTCAGCTGCTTCACCATTGCAGGGACCACTGTAGCAGGCTCTCTGAGACACAGGTTTGGGACCTTCACATTCATCAATGGGCAAGTCAGCCACAGACTGAGAGAAAGACAGAAGCACTTGACATTTCACAAGCCGCACCTGGCTGCCCACTCCACAGGTGACACTACAGGAGGACCAAGCCTCAGGAATAAACCTGTGAGGAGAAGAGTGAGTGCAAGTTAAGCAATGTCCAGACACAGCCAGCCATGGAAAAGTAGCATAAATCTGTCCAAGACAAAGTCTATTCAATGAAGTAACTTCACCTTATCAGGGTGCTATTATGAAATACACGTAAAAGCGATGGCATATGAGTTGAGTTGGTAACAACTGAGTAGTAACAGTAGAAAGATTCTCAGTAAATTCTGGAGTACTTTATATCCACAGAAGAAAACATATACCCTATGTTCATCCTAAAAACTCTCAGTGCAATTAATCCTGCAAACTTCTGATGTGCATCCTAATCCTACTAGCTAATGGTTTTTTTAGGATTCAACCTCTTTCCCTTAGTTGACTCTGCATTTACGTTATCAAAAAGCACTACACAGTACTCTATGGAACGTAATTTCAACCATTGTTCCCATGCTGTGGAAACTGTTTTAATTTAAAGCCATAAAAAGATAAAAGCCCTCCATTTCTTTACCTTTTTTTTTTTTTTTTTTGATCCCCAGCACATTTTATTTCCCAATTTTCTCTGGCTGTAATCCCTCTGATTAGGAACTTATCCCAGATTTTGTCTTCTGAATATCTATACATACTTGAACCAAACAACTTAGAGCCATCTTACACTATGCACAATAGACCAAATTCTGTGGGTTCTTATTTTTTTGTGTATATGTGCTGTTATTCTCTGTGAAATAATTTCTACATTTTTTCTGCATGGTCACTTTTCTACATTCAAAAATCAGTGCTATTCTAATGAACAGAATATTTATTAGGGTCAAATAGGATCAACTGCCTGACAGGAACCCAGGTGGTTCAACACCTAAATAAATGCATTAGCTAACTTTATCAAATAAATCGGAATTTACAGGATGTATTTTTGATCAAAATCTCGGATGCCACTGAGAGTATTCCTCTCATTTTGGTTTTAAGATAGCCTACAACAAACTTTGGCAATTTTATCCAGAGCAGAAGGCAGTGCACACATTTCTTCTAGAGAGTAGGCCTGCTTGTAGCTATCAGAAAAACTCATTTCTTACCTTGACAATGCCATGCACAGCCTGATAGGGATAAAACGGAAATTTAGTTTTGTGATCAGCAGTTTTTAAAGTTTTTGTATGCACTTCTATTTCCCCAAAGCTACTGCTCTCTAGTTGACAACAGAGCCTTCACTTCACTGAGTGAAAAACCAAAAACTGTGGTATCCTCTCAGTATATATCTAGCAGGATCCCTGACTGCAGCAGCTTGGTCTCCTAGGGCAGACACTGTATATTTTGCTACCCACTTTTTTGTGGTTATTCATAACATCTTCTTAATATTCACTGCTAGCACTATTCAGCTATATACAGGAAGTAATAGAATGGAAATTGTGTATATTACTATAATCTTATAATGTTATTGCAAAGACTATAAGATTTATTTCTGGATTAAAGCCTCTGAGAAACAAATGATGCTTTTTATTCCATTTCCATGCTCTAAGACATTTTATCTTACAAACAGTAAGTAAAGATGGTTTTGTTTCAAAGATGGCCATTTGTAATTTTAAAAGGATTATAGTTTTTAATAGCACAGGTAGGCCACGTGTGCCATTTTGACTAAGACTACACTACTGCTGTAACTTAGTTTGATTAATTTAAATGTACAGCTTCTTGACCTGACAAACTAAGATGCAAAAAATCCTAACCAGATTAAGACACTGCAGATATTTTCTTCAAAAGCTGCATTTCTTGCATTTTTTAGCATTTTGGATTGTTGTGTAGATTTTCTTTGTTGAAGAGGTGTTGTATTCCAAACCAAAAGGTATAATAGCTTGCCAGGCATTAAAATTACTTGATTAGAAAGGGAGAGATACTTTACATACTCAGAATATTTACATGACTTACACATATCACCCATACAAACACAGGAGCAAAAGACAAAGGAAACAAAAGAGAAGCAAGAACAACAATAGAGATGACTGGATTCTTTTTAAAATGAGACTTGATCTACAAATACCACACATTATCTTATTTTACCCTTGTCTGCAACTTGTAATGAGGGCACTTGAGTATCTTCAGGACAGTGTACTTTGTTCAGATTTCTAGGCCCAATTTACATATTTTAAGTAATAAATTTGGAAAGATAATTTAATTCAAATATTACTGCTGGCTGTTAAAGCACAGGAGGAACTAGTAGAATCAAAAGATTTGAAAGCAGAGAAGAAGGGGGAAAAAAAACCCCAAGCCCCAAACCTCCATACAGTTCTCATTAGATATGAACATTTATGTGATATGAATGTATAGTATAAATACACACTGCTTCTGAATTTTCCCCCAAACCAGGAAATTGTGAAGGTTTTCAGATATCTTTGTGTAGTTATTAATGATAAATGTTGCCAAATGGTGAGCACAGAACTTAAAAAGTATGGGAATGATAAACAGACAATTCCATAGGCTTTAAGTTATTCATTCTGCATACGGTGTATCTTGCATTGCACAGTACTGTGCTTTTCTGCATCCTTCTCTGAAAACTGAAGTGGTGGATTAGGTTTACTGAAAAGCAAGAATTTTAGAAAACAGAAAATGATGCAGGTGCTTCAGATGTCATTGTACATTGTTTAATGAAATCCTGCTTTAGTACTGATCCTTGTAATAACAGGCATAATAAACAAGACAGTCTCAATAACTGGTTGCTGTAGTGTTACAGTGATAGCTGTCAGCCAGAGCTGTCTGTGCTCATGGCAGTACAAATAAGAAATAAAATGATGACTCTTGCCTTGAAGAGATTACTTGGTGTATTTTATAGCTCTTAACATACTTCCCAATGACTAGCATGTTACTATAGCATGAAAAATGAACTTCTGTCCTCTGTACAACAAGGCTTCCTCCCTGATGGAAAAATGCAGCATTTTCATTTTCTGAGGGCTCTGTAGAATATTTCAAGGAGGAGTGTTTTGCTCCCATTTTAGAGAGAATCTTACCAAATGAAGTGAAAGGTGGAAGAACAGAACATCATGACCAGGTGGTTGGACTAAATGACCTTAGTGCTCTTTCCAACCTTAATGTTTATATAATTCTGTAAGCTTGCTTGGTTCTGAATAACCTAATCATCTCTGCTACTACTCAGCTGCTGGAGTGCTGCCTTCACTGTGGCACCCAGCTGTGCAATGGCTGAAGAACACCTCTAGCTGCCGTCCCCCAGACGTCTCTGTACTCAGCACTGCTCTCAAAGCTGGAAAAGGAAATGGAATGGATGAAAGGTGGAAAACTCTCATAAGAAAACTAGGAGTTAAAAATGGATGTTTTTTGCAAACAAATACCTACATTTGTTTTGTTGACCTACTGACTTACAGTAATGGACTAGAAACCACTTCCCTCTCTAGGAACATGTTGGCAAAATAGTTTGGTATTTAAAAGAGGCATTATATTTTTCAGTGTTTTTCTTTTTTTTGTTAGCAATGTGCACAAGATTGACTTTAGCAGAAAGGAATTGATGATTCCATTTTTCCATGGAAAAATTCCATGATTTTTCATATGCACAATAGCCTACATTGGCCTACATCAAGTTCTGGGAATGGAGGAAAAGAAACATAATACTACCAAGATCAGTGGACTTCTGCAGGAGTCACATAGATGTGGCAGAGCACAGGCTTGGGTTCACTGCTTTTGTAGTATACTACAGCCACTGAAAATACTTTTAAAGTAAATTTTAGTACGTTAAACCAGCATATGAATGTTTGTACATAAAGCACTAAATGCAAACATACTGGTCAAACTGTGAAATACTCTGCAGTCCAGCCTTCAGGCTGGGAAGCACACGTACAGTTTACCAACAAACACAGATTCATTTCAGCTATCCACAGAATTTCATGGATGTATGAAAACTGTGCAGATACCACTTTCCTAGTTCAATTTTGCAAAACTATCAGCATTTGTAAATATTATTATTCATGCTTACACTGGAGAATGTTTTTTTCAGTTTATAGTTTATTTAGTAATTACAAAAAAATTTCTCTTTGAAACATATGAAAGGAATGCATTTAAAAATCCAGCTTCTGTAGAGTGGCTGAGGCAGAGAAGGCAATCAGTCTATATTCATAGAATTACAGAACGACAGAATGTTTTGGGTTGGAAGGGTCCTCAAGGATCATCAAGCTCTAACCCCCTTGCCACATGCAGGGCTGCCAACCTCCTTATCTACCAAGGCCCCATCCAGCTTGGCCTTGAACACCTCCAGGGATGGAGTTGTTTACAATAATGAAAAACAGTATAGAGATTGATATAATCCATTTTAAAATACATTGTTCAGCCAAAGGCCGAACAGTTCTGAGAAGGGTATTTGAAGGCACAGACATCCATCTATTTAAGCTCCTAAAACCAGAATACACCTGGTGAAATAACAGCACTCAGTGGCTTGTTTAAAGGTATAGAAATTTTCTCCACTAGAACTGGAAACGGAGCTCAGACTTCCAGACTTATTGTCTTGATCTGAAATATGAGCCTGTTTTTCTCAAAGAGGATTCACCTTTCTATGGGAAATAATTTAATACTGCAGATAGCTTACATGCAGAAACTGTGTAGTTGCTGATGCTGTTGCTCAGAGGAGTGAAAGAGAGGAGCCACAATCACCTGTCAATAAAATCCCCGAAAGCTCCATCTGTAAGAGTAATAGCACGATAGCCTCCTACATAGGTTAGATTGCACTCTAAGTGATTACAGTCTATCCCCCATCATTTCTCTTCAGTTCAGTTTAAGAGCAATCTTCTCCTTCAGCATAATGTCAGATCACTCTGTACTGTTGGTGCTCTCCATAAATTCACTAGTGTCTTTCTCCCTATGGGAAGATAACTGATTCTATCCCTTATAGATATTAGACATAAATCCTACACAGACGTAAGTCTCTAAAGGATTTTTTTTAATGAATAGAAAGAAATCATTACCTGATATTACCTGCTACATTGCTGCTCTTTCCTGTGACTGACTGCATTGATAATTTCATTGTATGCAATTAAATCTTATCATGGAAAGAGTTCCCTGAACTTCCTTCTTCGCCACATGACACTGATATAGAATAATGCAGCACCACTACTGTTTTAGCAATTCAGTAATCGTAACACATCTAATTCCTAGAGTAAACCACTTGTAAGCAGTTTCAAAATTACATTTTGACCTGTGAAATTGCTACGAACCCAATTACAGAAACCATTTTGTGGGGAAAACAGAATGAGATAGCTTACATATCTTTGGAAACATAAATACCTACTGAAAAGTAAAAAAGAGATATTGGGCGACCCTGCCACACTGACCTCTCTGACCAAATCCACTTCCCTGAGGGCTCTGCCCCCCACTGATGCATGTCAGGAATTTCCTTTTGTTTCTTTCTGAACTGGCCTCATCACTATGATGGTGCCATCTGGCATCCAGATATTATTGTTTGCCCTCTTTTTATCCCCTTCTTTTTATGGCTAGCACCGTGGTTATTTATGGCAATATGTTAAAAGCTGGGTATGGTGTTAACATACAAAAGCATTTTTCAAGAGTTAGAGAAAGAAATCTTTTAAACAACCCCTCCACCATCCATAAAACCAATCTCATTACTCATAGAGAAACCCATGCTTTTTTAATCACGATTGCTGCTTTTTCTGACTCCACTGTCATGCTGTGCTGGTGCAATCAGCTTCAGTGCAAGAGGTCAGGCTGAAAAATATTCTGACTTCTCCCTTTGATAAAGACTGTTGAATAGTCACTTCAGAGACGGACAGCAATAAGGCAACAATACACAGAGTGCTGTATTCTCACCTTGCATCTTTGTCCTAGAGGAGACTGCAATATTTTCTTACCAGTCTAGAGTATTTCCTGGCAGTTCTGTCAAAAAATAATACTTAATTGACTCTGTCTAGGGGTGCTGCATGTTAGATAACGCAAACTTAACTGTTCCCTCTAGACATCAAGTGTCTGAACTACTTGTCCGTAATTATTTGAGCAGCAGAACAAATAAAGACCAATTTAACATGGATTTGGATTGGAACGCTGAGTGCTCAAATAGATTCTCTGGTATCTCTAACAGACTGTAGTCCTTTAGAAACCTTTTCTTCAACAGGAGAGCTAGTAGGTGTAATTTTTATACCTAGCCATATCATTCAGTGAAACGTGGGAAATACAACCATTGAATTTCCTGGTGAACATTAACCAAATATGACAGAGGTGTAAAGTTCTTTGTGATAAATTTATACTTCTGTCCAATTCAGCTAATAGCAATACATTCAGACATTATTAAGGGAAGAGGAAGGCAAATGACAGACAGACATATACAGACAAAATTACACTGTAAGGCTTGCTTCCTTTGGAAATCCTGGAGAAATAAACAGTGGAAGGCATTAGATGCAGATGGAGTAAAAATGAGATATCTGCTGTCCTAACAGTAAAAAATGATCATAAAATACAGGTGGAATTTTACAATGAAAAGAGTACAGTGGATTTATGCTCATATATAAAAACTTCTTAATTCCTAGTTTGCAATTTCTTAGCAAACATGTACACAATACAAAGTCACTAAAATCACAAGACAGCAATACAAGCTTCATAAATATGAGACTTCAAAATACACAAGATTTTCAGCTTTGGCTTTTAAATTTAAATAAACAAAAATTTTTTGAGAAGAACAACAAAGTTTCTTACAGGTGGGAGCTGCTTTCTCTGCCCTAAGAATGATAAGGAAGAAAAGATAACAGTGTCAGAGGTCAAAAAGCAGTCTGCTGGCTTCAAAGAATTACCCTGTCTGTAGAGGAGAATGGGAGCAGTGATTTGATGGCATAAGAAAGCTCAGAAAGGGCATTAGATGAAGTGTAGAAGAAAGAATCATTACTAACATCTGCCCGTGTGCAGTCAGAAAATCAGTCACTGTTACATCGCTACTGAGCAATCTGGAAAATCACAGGGACATATTTATTCTGGAGAAGCTAACAGTGCTTCAGCTTCCAGCAAACACTCTCCTGAACACAGTACTGCCGTCTCAGCACTGAGTTTATCACTTCCCTGGATGCCTCCTGATTCACATCCCCCTCTCCCATCCATCTGCCTTTCCCCGAGGCTGCCCTGCCTCCCGTAGCTCGATGCCCACCCTCAAACCCTGCTCAGCCAGCTCCACTCTATTGAGTTAGAAGGGGAAGGCTCCTCAGCAAAGCAGAAACAGATTTTTTTTTTTCTCAAGTCCCAGTGCATTTTCTTAAAGTATTTACAGCTAAGTAACACACTGCAAATAAGTGGGATTCTTAGGAAGACAAACAGTAGAGAAGTGGATGGCCATGTTCTAATTATTCAAATTCACAGTCAGCAAAAGAGCTGGCAACACACTGTCATACACCAGATGGATTTAATCTGACATCTAAAAACTCTCACTAGTTCTGACCTTTACATTAGTGTGCTATTGTGGACTGACCGTTCATTAGCCAAAATAAGTGGTTGACAGCTCAGTATCAATCAGCATGTTGAGCCATAGGATACTACTTTGTATCTTTGCAGCTACAGAAAGAGAGACCAAAGGACATATTATCGTCTAACACATCTTATTTTTCAACTAACTGGTGTATTTGAAATTGCTATTCAGCTGAAAGCAGACAAGCGATATTGTAAAACTGGCATCGAAATTGACTTGTTGGTTGTGTGAGTTCTGAATGTTCCATCTCTTTTGTTTTCATGTCATTATACATATTTTTTCAATCTAACAACCAGGATCTGAAAAGAATGTGTGTTTAAAGTTAGACATTAATGAAAACCACCACTAATAGTGAAGCACTGAAACATCTTCTGGGGAATTCACCACTCAAGGTCATTGTCAACAGATTAGATTGTCTGACAGAATATGAATACGACTATTAGCATTTACAGGGATTGCATGGATTGGTTGGCAGTATAAGCCATCTAAGTTTTTATTTGTCCTTTCTGGCTCATGCCTTATCACTAGAAATTGTTTCAAATCAAACAAAGGCATGAATAGCGCTGGAAAAGTTTGCACAAAAAGCCTGACTTTTCATCCTCTATTTTAGCTATTAATAAACAAATATAAAAATTTACAGTCTAATTTAATTTAATGTCATATTGATTTCTCATCAGCCGAAAGTAAAGATTAGTCATGATTCCAGAGTTGTGTTTTGCAAGGAGAAAAAAAAATGTAAAAATTGTTGACCTATGGCAGAATGAACTTAATCTGAGCAGTGCTCCACTGCATTAGTATCCCACTGGTATCACTGAACTGTTGTGAGAGATAGGGTAAAAAGATAAGGAGATCTTAGCAGAACAGAGTCTTTATTGCAGCCGAGCAGCGAAATTGTGAAGAAAATAGATGTCATAGCAGCTCATAAAACTTAGAAGATTTAAAGAATCTTAAGCTCCTTCTCAGGCCCTTAAGGCCTGTTTTAGTACAACAAACAGTATACTCATAAGCTTTTCTAGAGTATTTTATCAAAAATGACTGTGATGATAAACCAAAATCTCTACATGTTTCTTTGTAGGCTATGCTTATTCTGTACAAATCCCTTATCACTAACATCTAAAGAGACATTTAGCTGTGTATATATATATATATATATATATATATATATTACTATACTTTTTCTACAGTACTGCCAACATCATATACAAAATGTACCTACATTTTGTCACTGTACAAAACTGCTGCAAATTTTTCCAAGTATGATCACATACCAACATAATTCCTTTTGGTAAAATTCCCAACAATATATTTTTAAATTTATGTCTCTTTAATTCAAAGGAAAAGGAAAAAGAAAAGGAAAAGGAAATGGAAAAATGAAAAGGACAAAGGACAAAAGAAAGGGAAAAGGAAAGAAAAGGAAAAGAAGAAAAAAGAAAAGGAAGAGGGAAAGGGAAAGAGAAATGGAAAGGGAAAGGGAAATGAAAAGGGAAAAGGAAAGGGAAAAGGAAAAGCATAGAGAAAGGGAAAGGGAAAGGGAAAGGGAAAGGGAAAGGGAAAGGGAAA